TTTTTTCTTTTTGAATGGGCGGGGGGGTAGTCATATCTTGAGTGAAATGACCATGTAATTTAATCTCAGGAACTGCAGACCAGCCTCCAAGAGCGATCTCCTTGTTATCCTGCTCAAATCATATGTTTAGCTCTCACCCAAAGATAAACTAGGTGGAAATTGCAAGAGTGCTGAGTTGTGGGCAAAAGTTTCGCCCCAGCAGAACATTCGACCCGGATGATTGTTTCCAGACGCAGTTGTGCTAGCACCAGTTACATCACAAGGGCCACCTCAACTCGTCTTCGACGGTGAAGTTACCATAGGATGTCAGCATTCCCTTTTATGACGCGATAACCGCTGATCTAAATAAAAACGAATCAAAATAGGTGGCCATAGAGCTGTATCGATAGCACGCGACATGTCTGCGTCTAGCTCGTCCACTATGCTCCTTCCTCTCTTTGCCCGTTCTCTTGCCATGGCACACAGCGAGATCATCTGTCTGTGCATGACTCGTGGGCAAGGGCAGATGATCTGAATTTGTGGACACGTCGACCGCCCAAAAAAGTGGGAATTATTTTCAGTGTTTTAGAAGGTATCTAGCGGTGGTTGACAATGAAACGATGCATATTGTAGTGCCTATTGTAAGAAAATTTAAAATTGTCTATGGAGCATTAAGAGATTCTACTCAATCACTGAGAAGTTGGGTCGCTATATTGTCAGTTGGTGGAGGAGCTATTAATAGGTTCTACTCAATCACGAGAAGTTTGTCGTAAGGTCCCGTGGGTGGAGAGGATAGTGGCATACGCCTCTAATCTCGAGATGACTCACAGAGCAGAAATCGGTTGAGATCGTACAACGTTGCCAATGCAGCTGGAATCTTCCAAACAAAAAAAAAGAAAACGACACAAGATCAGATAAAGACGTGGCACGGCCGGAATGCGCTTTCAATCATCACCCCCACTGCAGCGCTAGCAATCTTTCACGGCAGTCTCGCTTCAGCAACAGAAAAAGACTGCCATTGGTCTGAACGCGAGTTTCAGGTTCATTACCGAGTTATACTACGAGACAGGGAAACGTTGCAGAAGGATCTCTGGAAACACGTGTAAATAAATAGAACAGGAATTAGAAAAGTGTTCAGTGTTTATAGACCTTTCTTGAAATGCGCCACGCATTCGCTCTACATTCAGAATCGAAATGGCACCTGAATGCAGCCAAGACATCACTGCATCACTTGCTGATGTACTTCATTGCAGGGTCAACCGTCCGTTGGACAAAGTCCAACGAGGGGTCGTATTCGGCCGACCAAAAGGGGGGGGTCGTATTTGCAAAGGTCAACGTCGCAATACGTAGGTGAGAGGCATAACTTTCGAGTGCTTCTCCAACTATTAACCACAAACGAGTGCATGGCGCACCTCAGAGCAGAAGAGTCTACTGCAGTAAGTGTCCATATGTGACTGTTCACGTACACAAATATGCTTCTGAGGAGAACCAATGTCTTCAAACTGGACCTAAGTTAGTAAAAGAGTGACCACTTGGTAGATTGACTGCTAAAGGCTTACAAGAAAAGTTTGGGAAAAATATTTGCCTGTTGGCGACTTCCTGAAAAGGGTTTAGTATCTGTTATGAAGCACAAAGCTTGTGCGATGTCATGGTATCATTATTCCCATAAAATTGAGTTTGAAGAGAGCTGTCAGTGTTTGAGTGTTGAAAACTCGTGTTTTCAGGAGAGTAGCTCCGAAAATTCATGAAAAAAAAAAAACGGTCCAACGGGGCGATTTTTGACTCCTCATTTTGGAAGAGTTCAAGTATTCATTAGAAAGCTCTAACCTTCTAGTTTATTCCAGGGGATGAAGAACTGTTGCAAAAGGTCGAGTTTTATGAAGAAAGGTAAAAATTTATCAGATTGATTTTTTTGAAGGGAAATAGTCAGAAGTTTCGAAGTTTCTTAACTTACATTTCTCACACTTTCTTTTCTTTAAAGAAAATTAACAACCTTATAAATGAAGAAGTGCGCATTTCTGTGAATTCTCTAATTAATTCTCTGCCCATAACTAGAAAGAGTTCTGGAGATACTGCACAAACGTGGTAGTCTTCTGAAACTAGCAGTCTCGCAGATTACAAATCTGCTTGGCGTTTTGAAAAATATTGAGATTGAACTGAATTACACTCATTTGAAAATTGAGCTTCTGGCCTCGCATCTACCCGAGCTGGACTGAAGGAAAGATCGGGCGCGTCCAGGCCACCTCGATCTTGTGTAACGCTCGAAGTATTAGGTACGAAGTAGTACGCAAATCACACTTTTAATCACTAAGTGTATATTACACAATAAGTGTTTGGGGGGGGGGGTCGTATTGAGACTTGCTAAAAGGAGGGGGGTCGTAAAATTTTCGGAAATTGGTCCAATGTGACGGTTGACCCTGTTTCATTGTACAGACGGATCAAGGATCTACCACCGCCCCCCCACCGGTTACCTGAATTCGGAATGACTAAGTTTGGTTACCCTGGGTCAAATCCGATCCGGGAGCCTATCGAGCAATTTTCGGACCTCGTCGCTCACAAGTATACTTGTATACTGTTTCTGATACAAAACAAACGAGCGGGGAAGAATTTCTGCAAGCGAAAAAAAAATGAAGATGCGCCGGAACATAATGTTGCACATCCTTGTGCGGGTTAAAGCTAGATTTGGCAGTCTGTGAAGCCTTCAGCGATAGCTATAGAGCCGTATGCTACCCTATCCCCATGCAGACGTGTTCTTCTGCCTCCGATGCTATCCTAAGGTTGGTCGAGAGTGAGTTGCATCACAAGAGTTGTCGCCATATCTATGTATTTATTACTTTACGTTCCTATCCTTCTGAAAGTCGCTACACAGGATTTCATGACATCTAGTGCTTTTGGTTGTAGAGGATCCATGTCGTAAGGTAAATTTAGCGTAACAAGGGCAAATCGGGGAAGAGGGCTACGTGGCCACTTTTTCTTTGGCGAAATGTTGAGCGCTAGGCCTGGTGCCTTGCCACCAGAAGGAGGCGCAGTAGAGCAAAATGATGAAATGTCACAACCTCTCGTATAGCACCCACTGGTTGATGATAAGTCCCACAGCCGAAGCCCTGCTTCTCCCTCTCTGAGCCGACAGAGGAAAAAGGAAGATAAGAGAACGACCACTGCCATGTGTTCGGGGCATTACGGCACCTTTTTATCAAAGGATAGACTGCTTACATTGAGAAGAAACAACATGTGGCAATAATGATCGCGAAAATGGCAGCAAACGGTAGATGGCTGGGTTCGTAAGCAAAACAGAGAGACAGATGTAGAAAAGTGGTCAGCAGTGCTCATGTTCATGCAGGGACTTAATGGTCTGAATATTACAAAAGCCTTGATGTGGAAGACAAGGCAGACAAGCCGCTATACCTTGAGACAGTCATTTTGCTTGATTTAACATCGGCATAATCACGGCTGGCTCAGTGAATGCAAATCTTTGGTCCCGAAAAAAGTTTACCCACAATTCATGTGGCTACACATGCATGGGTAACACAGGTAGTCTCAAACAGTATAGGCAGACATTGGAAATGGCTGGCGATGGAGTCCATTTGGGAACCCTTCGTAGGAGCACTGAGGCCGACCCTATACCAATGATCGAGTAGCCGTCTGCAGCCGAAGGAGCCTCCAGTAAAAATGGAGCTAAAAGAGCACTACAGGCGTCCGGACAAACCTCTCCAAAAATCAGCAGAGTCAAAAGTCGCGCTCATCACTTTGAAAACTTTATGACCCCTGCCAAGAAGGTTTCCATAATATCCTTCACCATTTACCATCCGCCTTAGGGGGGGGGTCTCCAATATGCCAACCACCTCTTCCCCACAACACCAACTTTACCACCTTAGCCATTTCTATAGCATTTCATTCTGAGACCAGTCAACAAGCTTCAACTCTGCTGAGACTTTTTCCTCCAAAAATTTATTTTGCCCAACTCGTAATTGTTTTTGGAAGTTTTTTTAGAGAGTCCTAAAAAACTCGTCCAGAATGGATTAACTCTCCCACAACCATGGCCTTTTCAAATTTCACGAACAACGGACCCAAAATTACGATCCGCCCCCCTGATTGCACTTCTTCAGAAATGGCTAGGCCCTGACCACAACCCGAAACACGCCTCTCACCTCTACCAAATTCGCAGGCACGATCCTCCGCATTCGTGTAGTTCAAATTTATGGGTGACTTTGTTTGCTAGCCAGGATTAGGGCTTGTATCATGAGGGTTATTGCTGTAACGGTGAGTCATTTCAACCATCACCAATCCTAGTATTAAAAAAATGTTAGGCTACCGAGTAGGCAAAACGGTAGAGTTTACAGAAGTGATCAAAAAATAGAAAACAATAGGATGATTCAACGAGAGCAGATTAATTAATGTTGCAGCACAAGGACTGTACCAGCGAAAAGATATAGGCGCTAGCTAATAGAAATATGTCTAAAAAAATCTGTGTGTCCACAGAAATGAAAAAAAGATGGCGTTTGGAAAGGAATTTAGTAAAGGGAAACCTATTAGTGGCGAATACGCCACTCATCTTATATGCATATTAAAAGAAGCCAAAGTCTTGTTCAATATGAAGTATGCGAATTGCGCGAGCGTGCTGCCATTAAAAAACGTAGTGACAATTGAATGTGATTATGGCCTACATGACGATGACCTGCACGGCGCCGTCAATGCACAAGTCACCATTTTTAATCCTCCCACAAAGTCTGGTACTAACTGACCGACCCCGTAGGATGGAAGGCTTGGTGCCTATGCGAAATTGGATCTGAGATTTGACACCCCAAACCGTGCGTGAGGAAAGTGGGCCCAAAATCACCTCCGTAGCGTGTCTTACTATCCGCCGCCAGACTCACACAAAGATGCAATATACGTATTTAACTCGTACTTGATTGGAAATAAGAGTAAAAAATGATGTAAGCGTATACACATAGTAGCAAAAAAACAATACCGAAAAAGAAACAGAAAAATGTAGCTATGATAAAGAAGAAAAGAAGACCAACTTGGATACTTTTCTAGGAGCTGTGCAAAGTAAACAATCGCTTTATCAGTGTCGTTATTTGTGTAGAGCATATCAGCGACCATCTACAAGGAAGCTTTTTAGGACATGAAAATGTTCAGAGGTATTTTTTAAATGCAGAAATGGTGAAGATTCGTCAGAAGATTTTAGCAAATTTCACTTCTACTGAGTTGGCTTCGAGGGACTCTGAGGTTAATGTGTTTTGTTTAGGCGCCAACAGTGAACACCTGAACGGCTTAAGCATAAGGGACTCCATAACGGCGACAGAAATCTCTTCAGGTAAAACGATTGGACGGTAAGGGTCGTGATGCTCTCGTACAGTGCTGGACTGCGTGTAGGAACCATGGAAGGGAGCTCTACCACCAGACCTCCGTTATTCGCTGGGAGCGACGAGACAGGGCTGGAACGTTTTTTTTTAATTCCGTTATCCCACTCACTTGAGGTGGGGGCGTTGTTCGAGGAACGCCAAGACTAACTTATTTTGGGATATATCACAAATGCCTTCTTGGGCAGCAGAGGCACGACACTGGCTTCCCAGCGGGCCCTCGCAGAATTCATGGGACACCAAATCTACTCGCTTTCACAGGCGGAGGTGCTTCGGAAAGGACTGGGACAGCTTGCACTTAATTTTGCTGCCACCAACTCGCCGGCGGTGTACACAAAGTACTATTGCTCATACCCCCAAAAATACATTATCCAGTCCAGCCACTAAGATTTACGCTAAAAAGATGATCTTTTGAGAAATGCTCACCAGAGTCGCCTCGTCGTTGTTTCTGTCGATGGCGAGTGCCATTTCACACATTTGCTTGCACTCCGCCAACCGATTGATGTTCATATACCGACTAGCCAATGCAAGGATCGTCTGGAATGTTCCATTAATATGTGAATGACAACCACAGGTCTTTGAATAGAAAAGCTAGCGGGATAAAATCGTTCTTTCCAGAGAAGTCCGAAATCATAATGTAGCATAACTGAAGACACTACTGCACCTACCTTAATATCTGTTTCATAGTAAGTCAAGCGCTTCTTTGTAGCATTCGATGACCATTCGGTGGTCATGAGCGTTGCTATAAATCTCGGCCTGACTGCAGAGAATTCTGTAAGGAAAATCATTAACTACGAACTTCAGACAAGACTTGAAAATGAGCATAACTGGACAAATTAACTGCCCTAATTTCCAGTAGATAAGCCCGCGCCGATATCACGTAAAAACACCTCCACTGGTGCAATGCACTTGCGTACAGTTTATGGGGGAGTTACGGTTGTCTGGAGACAACGTAACTTCCCATAGGGGTAATTCGATATGCTGATTACGAAAACGACATTCATTTTTAGCGGTGGCGCCATCTGGCGCCAGTTGGCGCACCTTGTCACGACCCTTGTTTTCACCAAAATCGGTGTAAACTTCAGTATAGGGGTTATTTGGTGCCCTGATTACGAATATGACATTCGTTTTTGGCATTAACGTTGTTCAACGCATATTTCTCGGTTGGAGAGCGCAGACGAGCAGAAAATAGGCGCCAAATAGCGCCAGCGCCGAATGAATGTCATATTCGTAATCAGGACACCAAATAACCCCTATACGGAAGTTTACACCAAATTTGGTGAAAACAGGTGTCGTGACAAGGTGACGCCAACTGGCGCCAGATGGCGCCACCGCTAAAAATGAATGTCATTTTCGTAATCAGGGCATCAAATTACTTTACAGTTCTAAGGTGTGCAAAATTACACTGCACGAGCGCAGGTGTTTTTACGTGATATCGGTGCGAGCTTATCTACCGGAAATTGAAGAAATTGTTTGCAGGTTGGGCTCACTCACTTTGAAATCTCCTTTTTCACTTGCAAATTTGTGACAGAATCGTTCCGTACCAACAACTTCATTTGTAGATTTTTCGCGCTACAAAATAATTACATTGAAACTAACTCCTCATTCAGAAAACCACAAATGATGCCAAGCAACTAAAAATTTGAAACATTCTCGAGTTTCCGTGCAGGTGGAAAAAACGGAAGTTGTCACCAGTACGGTATTGACGCGAAACAGCTACTACATTCCCGTCACTGATTCTGCATCAATGCCAAGTTCGAGATTTCTAAGGGTTCAGCAGTGTGATAGCAAACTCAACTCTCCTAAGTCGTGGAGAGCCTCTGTGTGTTTCCCACCAGCAAACTGCACCTCGGCGAGGAGTTTCAGGTACTGAACGTGGGCAGAGATTGTGGCTGGATCTAAAGTAAGCCTATTTCTGTCCAGAAGGTTAAACACGAAATAAATATTATTTATATTGTTGCATTTCTGGTGGCAAGTGGCACGCTTACCACGCGAGCGGTCCGGGGATCAAATCCTGGGTCGTGAGTCGCCCGGGCCAACCAAGCCTTCCATCCCTCCGGGGTCGGTTAATTGGTACCAGACTTGTCTGGGAGGATAAAAACACTGACTTGTACATCGGCTGGCCCCCGCAAGTCATTGTATAGGCCACATCGCATTCAAACGCCACTACGAATGTACAAATGGAAGTAGAATGCGTGCCGCATCCCAAAAAGGGATTGATCAACGGCAAATGCTTTATCCTTTTATTTATTTTTTCACTATATGCTCGATACTTATACTAGAAAACTGTGGCCGCTGTTGCGTGTTACACAACTATAATCAAAGATGAATAATTTGTTGATGGCTCTGAATGGCGCCGAAATAACGGATTCGAAGTCCCGCTCCCTTAACGGCGAACAAATTGACAAGCAGTCACGAGGTCAGAAGTAGGGTCCACTTTGCTTAATGAAAGGCATGCAAGTCTCGTAAAACTCAGATAAGTAGAACTCAAAGCAAGACTTTGGGAGAAACCTCAAAGCAGCTCTCGATAAGTGACTAGAAGAGTAACTTTATAGCCACTTTAGAATTAGACTGGTCAAACACACAAGATGTGGAGGAATACTCTGAAAAGACCTTGCCTAAAGAAGGTATGAGCCTTCACTGAAATGTGAGGAGAATCAGACAGGTAATCACGCGTTTTGCGAAATCTTTCCACGCTTGGCTATTACGCTTTCACTTGTCCCCAATCTGTAGAACATGTTTACTGAGGTAAAAAATCTACTAAAAGTTCAGATACAAATAGATGAATGGATGAACCGATGAATAGACGAAGGATGAACCATGAGCAATAGATGAGCAGAACCTGGAGAAGTAGGTGAGTAGCGGAGTCTCGACTAGGAGGAAGGGATGTTTTAGCTTTTGTGAAGTTAGTATAATATTTCAGGCAAACTACCTGGACAAATAGTTCATTCTGTGTACTGCGCCAAATTCATTGCGTGCCATGTGCGCCAAGCATTTATGCTGCCTAGAGAAGGATTAGATAATAAGGTCGGAGGTCGAAGAAGGGAAAGCTGGGAAGACAGGCCCCTAAGGGTGCACACCGGCACGCAATTCACAGCGAAGAATGTGTCCATGCGGTCCAGCATGGCAGTCCCGCGCCGCACCATGTCCCACCTTCTCGCCGTCTGACTCTAGCCATTTAGCAGAGAGAGCGTTAGCGTTGAAGAGGGCAGCACGATGAGAGTCGCATCAATGCGGAAATCAACGGGCAAGAAAGGGGTCCCATTTCTCGGGTTCTGGGCCGTTTCTCATGGTTTTTCTTCATCCCTGCACCACTGACCACCTCTATGTACCTTACTTCTAATGAGTTGTCTTCTGATCGTAAGTTCCGCCTTGAAGGGTAAACCTCACGGTGAAACTGGTGTGATTCTTGCACACAAAATGAAAGCTGGAGTGCAATGTGGAGCGGCAGTAAAGAAAAGGAGAAGAGTCTGTCAAAAACGTTAAAATTGAGGGTTCACTCTTTGATTCAATTTGGATGTGGCAAGGTAATGAGAGACTGAACGCGGTGAAGAGATGATAGGTGACAGAGCACAAAGGACGAGAAGGCGTAGCGCCCCCGCATGTTGTGAATGAGGCAAAGTGGAGGCGGCCGAAGCGATCTTGGGAAGGACCTATATTTTTTGTTGCGTACTTTCGAGCCGAGAGAATTTGGTAGCTGTGATTTCAGTGACCAGCTCTACCCTGCTTACTAAAAGGATTGTTCCAGCTGAATTTATCCTGGGGTGTACCTTTAAGTGATTCCACCCGTAGCAAGTTATTCCGCTTCGAACTAAACGTCACGGGCGGTGCCTGCGCCTCGCAGGTCCCTATGATCTCTCGTTTCATTACTTCAGCTGCA